ACCAAAAAGAAAACCACAGACCAATCTCTCTGATGAACATATATGCAAAATCCTTAATAAAATACTAGCTAACAAAACCCAATAACACATCAAAAAGATAATTCACCATGATCAAAAGGGTTTCATACCAGGGATGCAGGGATGGTCTTAACATACGCAAGTCAATAAATGTGATACACCACATAAACAGAATTAAAAACAAAAACCACACGATCATCTCAATAGACGCAGAAAAAGCATTCAACAAAATCCAGCATCCTTTATGATTAAAAATCTCAGCAAAATTGGCATGCAAGGGACATACCTCAATGTAATAAAAGCCATCTATTACTAACCCACAGCCAACATAATACTGAATGGAGAAAGTTGAAAGCATCCCCCCGAGAACTGGAACAAGACAAGAATGCCCACTGTCACCACTTCTCTTCAACATAGTACATGAAGTCCTAGCCAGAGCAGTCAGACAAGAGAAAGAAATAAAGGGCATCCGAATCGATAAACAGGAAGTCCGACTGTCACTATTTGCTGATGATGACTGTTTACCTAGAAAATCCTAAAGACTCCTCCAGAAAGCTCCTAGCACTGATGGAAGAATTCAGCAAAGTTTCTGGATACAGAATTAAAGTACACAAATCAATCAGTAGGTCTTCTATACACCAACAGTGGCCAAGCTGAGAATCAACTCAAGAACTCAACCCCTTTACAATAGCTGCAAAAAATTCAAATACTCAGGAACATACCTAATCAAGGATGTGAAAGACCGCTACATGGAAAGCTACAAAACATTGCTGAAAGAAATCACAGATGATACAAACAAATGGAAGCACATCCCATGTCCACAGATGGGTAGAATCAGTGTTGTGAAGATGACCATACTGCCCAGGCACCGTGGCTCACGCCTATAATCCAAGCACTCTGGGAGTCCAAGGCGGGTGGATCACAAGGTCGGGGAATCAAGACCATCCTGGCCAACATAGTGAAACCCTATCTCTACAAAACATACAATAAAAATTAGCTGGGCATGGTGGCGTGTGCGTGCAGTCTGCTACTCAGGAGGCTGAGGCAAGAGAATCACTTGAACCAGGGAGTCGAAGGTTGCAGTGAGCTGAGAGCGCACCACTGCACTCCAGGCTGATGACAGAGAGACTCTGTCTTAAAATATATATATAAAATAAAAAGGAAGAAAGAAAATGACCATACTGCCAAAAGCAATCTACAAATTCAATGCAATTCCCATCAAAATACCACCATCATTCTTCACGGAACTATAACAAACAAACCCAAAATTCATATTTAAAAAAAAAAAAAAAAGCCCACATAGCCAAAGCAAGACTAAGCAAAAAGAACAAATCTGGAGGCATCACAGTACTGATTTCAAACTATACTATGAGGCCATTGTCACCAAAACAGCACGGTACTGGTATAACGATTGGCACACAGACCAATTAAAATGAATAGAGAACTGAGAAATAAACCCATATACTTATAGCCAACTGATCTTTGACAAAGCAAACAAAAACATAAGTGGAAAAAAGACACCCTATTCAACAAACGGTGCTGAATAATTTGTTGAGATTTGTGACAGGTACAATCAGCTCAAGATGGATCAAGGCCTTAATCCTTACATCTAAGACTATAAAATTTCTAGAAGATAACTTTGGAAAAACCCTTCTAGACACTGGCTTCATGCAAGAATTTCATAACCAAGAACCCAAAAGCAAATGCAATAAAAACAAAGATAAATAGCTGGGACTTAATTAAACTAAAGAGCTTTTGCATGGCAAAAGGAACAGTCAGCGGAGTAAACAGACAACTCACAGAGTGGGAGAAAATTTTCAAAATCCATATATCTGACAAAGGACTAATATCCAGAATCTACAACGAACTGAAACAAATTAGCACGAAAAAAACAAACAATCCCATCGAAGAGTGGGCTAAGGACGTGAATAGACAATTCTCAAAGGAAGATGCACAAATGGCCAACAAACATATAAAACAATGCTCAACATGACTAATGATCAGGGAAATGCAAATCAAAACCACAATGCGATACCACCTCACTCCTGCAAGAATGGCCATAATCAAAGTCAAAAAATGATAGATATTTGCATGGATGCAGCAAACAGGGAACATTTCTATACTACTGATGGGAACGTAAACTAGTACAACCACTATGATAAACAGTGTGGAGATTCCTTAAAGAACTAAAATAGAACTACCATTTAATCCGGCAGTCTCACTACTGGGTATCTGCCCAGAGGGAAACAAGCCATTATACAAAAAAGTTACTTGCACCCTCATGGTTATAGTGGCACGATTCACAATGGCAAAAACGTGGAACCAATCCATATGCCCATCAATCAAGGAGTAGATAAAGAAACTGGTATGTACATATGATGGAATACTACTCAGCCATAAAAGGGAATGAATGAATGGCATTTGCTGTGACCTGGATGAGACTGGAGACTATCTTTTTTTTTTTTGAGACGGAATTTTGCTCTTGTTACCCAGGCTGGAGTGCAATGTTGTGATCTCGGCTCATCGCAACCTCCGCCTCCTGGGTTCAGGCAATTCTCCTGCCTCAGCCTCCTGAGTAGCTGGGACTACAGGCATGCGCCACCGTGCCCAGCTAATGTTTTGTATTTTTAGTAGAGACAGGGTTTCACCATATTGACCAGGATGGTCTCGATCTCTTGACCTCATGATCCACTCGCCTCGGCCTCCCAAAGTGCTGGGATTACAGGCGTGAGCCACCGTGAAGTAACTCAGGAATGGAAAACCAAACAATGTGTGTTCTCACTCATGAATGCGAGCAAAGCTATGAGGGTGCAAAGGTGTAAGAATGACACAATGGACTTTGGGGACTTAGGAGGAAAGGGTGGGAACGGGGTGAGGGATAAAAGACTACAAATTGTGTGCAGTGTATACTGCTTGGGTGGGTGCACCAAGTGGTCACAAATCACCACTCAAGAACTTACTCACGTAACCAAGCACTACCTGTTCCCCAACAACCTATGGAAATAAGAAATTTTTAAAAATAATTTTAAAAAGCTCTAATAAGCAAGATAGGGTGGTAGTGGCATAAGGTTAGACACAAAGACTAATGAAAAAAATGTCCAGAAACAAACCCTTAGATTTATAGTCAATTGATTTTCAATGAAAGTGTCAAGAAAATTCAATGGAGAAAGAGTCTTTTCAACAAAAGGTACTGGGAAAACTGAAGAGCCAGATGCAAAGGTTGAATTTGTGCCTTATCTCATCCCATACACAAAAAAACTCTAAATGGATCACAGATCTAAATGTAAGAACTAAAACTCTTAGAATAGGCCAGGCAGCGGTGGCTCATGCCTGCAATCCCAGCACTGTGGGAGGCCGAGGAGGGTGGGTTACCTGAGATCAGGAGTTTGAGACCAGCCTGGCCAACATGGTAAAATCCTGACTCTACTAAAAATACAAAAAATCAGTCAGGAGTGTTGGTGGGTGCCTGTAATTCCAGCTACTCAGGAGGCTGAGGCAGGAGAATTGCTTGAACCCGGGAGGTGAAGGTTGCAGTGAGCCAAGATCATGCCATTGCATTCCAGCTTGGGCAACAAGAGTAAAACTCCATCTCAAAAAAAAACCCCAAAAACCAAAATACCAAAACGAAAAACAAAAAACTCTTAGAATAAAAATTTTCATAACCTGGGACAAGCAAAGCATTCTTCTTATACACGAATAAGGCTGGGCACAGTGGCTCACACCTGTAATCCCAGCACTTTGGGAGGCCAAGGCAGGCAGATTGCTGGAGCTCATGAGTTCGAGATCAGCCTGGGCAAACCCCATCTCTACAAAAGTACAAAAATTAGCTAAGCATCATGGCAAGCACCTTTAGTTCCAGCTATTCTGGGGGCTGAGGTGAGAGGATGGCTTGAGCCTGGGAGGTGGAGGTTGCAGTAAGCTGAAATCATGCCATTGTACTGAGCGACAGAGCCAGACCTTATCTGGAAAGAAACAAAAGAAAGGGAAGAAAGGAAAGAAAAGAAGGTGAAAGGAAGTGAGGGGAAGAAAAAGAAAGAAAAGGAAGGATGAAAGGAGAGAAAAGAAGAACAAATTTTAAAAAATCAATAGAGATCATCAAATTAAAAAACTTTTGTGCTTTGAAAGATACCCTCAAGAAATTTTTTTTTTTTTTGAGATGGAGTTTTGTTTTTGTTGCTCAGTCTGGAGTGCAACGGCACGATCTCGGCTCACTGTAAGCTCCGCCTTCTGGGTTCAAGCGATTCTCTTGCCTCCGGAGTAGCTGGGATTACAGGCATGTGCTACCACACCTGGCTAATTTTTTGCATGTTTTTAGTAAGACGGGGTTTCTCCATGTGAGTCAGGCTGGTCTTGAACTCCTGACATCAGGTGATCTGCCTGCCTTAGCCTCCCAAAGTGCTGGGATTACAGGTGTAAGCCACCACCATAAAGAAATTTTTAAGAAAATAAGACACAGATTGGGAGAAGTATAAACGATACATATTGTAAGAGACTTGTATCAGAATACATAAAGAATGCTTACAGATCCAGAATAAAACACAAATAACCCAACTTTAAAATAGGCAAAAAATTTGAACAGACATTTCATTGAAGAAGATATATGAATGGCCAATAAGCACATGAAAAGGTGCTCAGTGTCACTAGATAATAGGGAAATGCAATTTAAAACCACCATGAAATACCACATCCGAATCACCAGAATGACTAAAACCAGAGAACAGACAGAAGGGTTGAGAAGGAGGTGAAGAATTTGAAACCCTACCACACTGCTGGCGGAAGGTAAATGGTACACCCACTCTGGAAAACAGTTTTGCAGTTTCCTAAAAAACCGATGGGAGTATACATTGTCAGTCACTTACACTGGAGGGGAGGGAAAGCCTTAAAATACGGTTTTTAGCTCTCCGATCAAAATCAGACACTAAGAAAATGGGCTTCTTTTATGGTGTCAAGACAATAAACAAAAGCCATCACCGTTTACTAACCTGGTCGCCTCTTAACTGGGTGGAACCATCAGTATACATTAGGGTTACCACCAGGGCTGCTGCCTGTTTGAGCATTTCAATCAGCTGGCTTTTTGCCCGATCACCCAAATACCTAATATCACAAAAATGTTTTTTTAATGCTCCTGAGTTCCCAGAATTCAGGTAGGCTTCAGTCTCATCAGTATCTTCTTCCAATGCCATTTGTTTACTTATTTTCTCTGATGAATTATTAGATGCAATATGTTTTCTTTTAAAATTAATGCTTCCTTTATTTTCATTATTTATATTCTCTGTTAAGAAATACATTATTTTATGTTCCTTTTTCTGTAGAACTGAAGTCTCTCGATTATACTGTGGAATTAAACAACTGGAAAGAGTCAATGAGCTGATGCTCTTCTGTTTTTGGTCGATTGACAGCTGATCTGTGAGCCTGACACTGAAGGCCTGAGGAGAGAGCTTGGTGGAACCTCTTGATGTCTGACTTGTTAAAGATTTAAGATTCTACAGAAAAATGGAAAATATTTCATTAGAATATGGATTTATAGGACAGAGCTATAAACCAAACTAATTTTTGGTAAAACTCATCTAGGGTAATATGGATACAAGATCTTCATATTATCTATGATCAAACCTTCTAAGGAAACCATATAATGTCTTCTAGAGCAGTGATTTTTCTCAACAAAGGTAGGCATGCATATCTGAATCAAGAGCTCAAAAGCTGGCCAGGCATGGTGGCTCATGCCGGTAATCCCAGTACTTTGGGAGGCTGAGGTGGGTGAATCACCTGAGGTCAGGAGTTTGAGACAAGCCTGGCCAACATAGTGAAACCTGTCTCTTCTAAAAATACAAAAATTAGCCAGGTGTGGTGACAGGCATCTGTAATCCCAGCTACTCAGGAGGCTGAAGCAAGAAAATCACTTGAATCTGGGAGGCGGAGGCTGCAGTAAGCCGACATCACACCATTGCATTCCAGCCTGGGCTACAAGAGCGAAACTCCATCTCAAAAAAGAAAAAAAAAGCTCAAAAGCCTCCAATCAGCCCCTGTTCTGGGAATCATGCATGTAATGAGAGATGTCATGGGTAGGAGTATGTTACATATGTGTGTAAAGGACAAGATTAATAATTTACAACTCCCAAATAAAGACCATTTATAGAGAAAATGAAATCACCAAAACTATTCAATAATATGTTAATCTATTTACTAAAAATTTTTTTGGGGTCAGGGTACAATAGCTCACACCTGTAATCCCAGCACTTTGGGAGGCCGAGGCTGGCGGATTATGAGGTCAAGAATTCAAGATCAGCCTAGCCAACATGGTGAAACACCATCTCTACTAAATATGCAAAAATTAGCCAGGTGTGGTGGCATGCGCCTCCAGTCATAGCTGCTGGGGAGGCTGAGGCAGGAGAATCACTGGAACCTGGGAGGCGGAGATTGCAGTGAGCCAAGATCATGCCACTACGCTCCAGCCTGGGTGATAGAGTGAGACTCTGTGTCAAAAATATACAATAATAATAATAAAAGCGATGATGGTGGATATCAAGTTGTCAAAGTGCAGTAACTTCCATGAATATATTTTAAATGGTAATGTAACAGTAAAAATGTCAATATTAACAATATAGCATAAATCATGTACTTTGCAGTTTTTTTTTTGAGACAGAGTCTCGCTTTGTCCCCAGGCACCAGGCTGGAGTGCAGCAGCACGATCTCAGCTCACTGTAACCTCCGCCTCCTGGGTTCAGGCAATTCTCCTGCCTCAGCCTCATCAACCTGGGATTACAGGCACGTGCCATCATGCCCAGCTAATTTTTGTATTATTTAGTAGAGACGGAGTTTCACCGTGTTGGCCAGGATGGTCTCGATCTCTTGACTTCGTGATCCACCTGCCTCGGCCTCCCAAAGTGCTGGGATTACAGGTGTGAGCCACCACTCCCACCACTTTGCAATTTTTAACACTTGTGACAAATATTTTAAATTTCAACTTTAAAATATGTCAGGCAATATATATATAGTTCAAGAAGGCCAGGTATGGGGGCTCATGCCTATAATCTCAGCACTTTGGGAGGCCAACGTGGGAGGATCGCTTGATCCCAGGAGTTTGAGACCAGCCCGGACAACAGGGTGAAACCCTGGTCTCTACCAAAAATACAAAAATTAGCTGGGCATGATCCTGTATGCCTGTAGTCTCAGCTACTCAGGAGGCTGAGGTGGGAGAATCACTTGAGTCCAGGAGGTAAAGATTGCAGAGAGCTGTGATCACACCACTGCACTCCAGCCTGGGTGACAGAGTGAGGGCCTCTCTCAAACATACAATAGAACAACAATAACAAAAAAGACCCACAAAATTCTTTTGAGAGAAAGGGAGCAAAAAGTTTGCAGACCCCTGCCTTCAGGATCCAAGGAGCACAGTTTGTTCACTGCTGAGAGAGACAGTTTCCATTCACTTACATAGAGAAGAAGAGAAGAGTCCCTTCTCTGTGGAAGATGCCTCTTCCCTCTACTCCAAGGGCAGATAATCATCCTACGAACCCAGGGGCAAATAATCGTCCCATCAACCCAAGAGACAGGTCCTAGTATCTCACTTTAGTATAGGGAGTCTAGGTTTAAATTTAGTCAGGCTGGGACTTGAACACAGTTTACTCCAAAGTTCATTTTCTTAACCACTATGTTGCCTCCACCACTTACATACACAAGGCCTTTGGTGATATGACCTCTTCTATCTCCTCTCTAACCCATACCACATAATGCACCCATTGTGAATGTTATATCCCTGCCTTTCAGAACTTCTATCATTTCTACTACCCCAAAGTTCTAAGCTTTCTTCCCCTAATCTGAAAATTTTCTCAGTGCCCTACCCCTGCTCCCTTGAAGGTGGGAATCTATTTTTTAGAGACATAGTCTTGCTCTGTTGCTCAGGCCGGAGTGCTGTGGTGCAACCACAGCTCACTGCAGCCTGAAACTCCTTGGCTGAAGTGATCCTCCAGCCTTAGCCTCTTGAGTAGCTGGAACTACAGGAGCATGCCAACATGCCCAGTTACTTTTTTCTGGGGGGAGGTATTATTTATAGAGACAGGATCTCCTTATGTTGCCCAAGCTGGTCTCAAATTCCTGGCCTCAAGTGATCTACCCACCTCAGTCTCCCAACGTGCTGGGACACATCCAGCCTAGGTTGACCAACTCCTAATCATCCAATAGATCTCAACTCAGGTATCATTTTCATACATCAGAAAGACATCCCTGATTCTCCTCCTCAACACCCAGAAGAGTAAAATAAAATAGCACAAAAACTAGTTCGATGTCCCTCCAATTGTCCCCAGAGCACTCTGAACTTACTTCTCTAATGGCACTTACTTTGTATGGTAGACGTCTATCCTATTTCACTGTCTTGCCCTTCCCTCCATCCAAACCAAACTATACGCTCCCGGAGAGCAAGAACTCCTCTTCTTTAACTGTTGTATCTACAGTGCCTAGTAACTGTAGGACACTTAACAAGTGTCTGTTGAACAAACAAAGGTTATCTGTTTAAAACTACTCATATTTGCAATGATTTACCTCTTTTTCTGATTGATTCTTCCCATCTTCAAGTTGTACTGAATACTTAACACTGGACTTGTTTATCACTTCCATAGCTTTTAGAAACAACAAAAAACAAACATGGGGCATTAAAGAAACGTTAAATCCAGGTCATACAGTTAACGAAACACTGAAATATCCTCTATAATCATGCTTATTTACTCGTTATTAACTTACTTAAGACAATGTAATAAAATTCACAACTAAAATGCTTAGTATCATTGCAATAAATACTTACGTAAAGTACCTTCAAGTTAACTGCAGATCTATATAATCATAAAATGTTTACGGAAAATCATCATTTGGCATTTGCATTTGAATACATAACTCTAAAAACCTAAGGTCAACATTTATAGAAACCTTAAAAGTATTGAAGGTTTAGGGAGATTCTTAGGCTGAGTACTGCAGTGGAACAATTAAAGGTTCAGCAAAACATCATTAATATAAACCTCGGGCTTAGATTTTGTTTTATTTTAATAAGCCTGGGCTGAACAGTAAGTGATAGAACCAGGATTCAACCTCAGGCAGTATGATTTGGGAGTCTGTACTCTTAACCACTGTGACATACATTTGCCCTGCAGGAACAATAACAACCTAGAAATGGAAATAGGGGGAAATATTTCATATACAATATAGAAACATTACACTTAGGATAAATATAATAGAAAAGATACAAGGCCCTTAAAGATGAAAACATAAAATTTTATTAAATGGCATAAAACAAGATCTGTAAAATGCGAAGACATAGCATTAGGATATATATCACAAAATGCTTAATTCTTCCAAATTTAAGACAATTTTCAATTGGAGAACCTACAGGGATATTTTAATTTAATAAAACAATTTCAAAGTAAAAAGAGACAAGAAATGTAAGTTTAAAAAAAAAGAGAGAAAAGACCTCTAGAACAGAACAGACAATCCAGAGACTGATCCCAAGACTTCACATACAACAAAGATAGTATTTCAATTCACTAGAAAAGGATATATTAATTAATAGGGCTGGTACAACTAGCACCACATCTAAAAGAAAAGAAATGCATTGGGAAAACTATTTCGAACCAAAGTGACAAAGGGTTAATTGCTAGATTACGCAACAAGTTCTTATACATTTACAAGGTAGGACAAACAACTCAACAGAAAAATAAGCAAAGGATAGGAAGAGGCAATACACACAATAGAAAACCCAAACAGGAAACAAATACAATATTCAGGAAATGCAAATTAACTATAACTGGAAACAGAGGGGAAGAGGTAGTCTCATGCATTGCCAGTAAAAATGTACATAGTTAGATTCTTTCTAGAAGACAAACTATCAAGACTTATTAAAATTAACAATACATACAACACTCTTGGGAGTTGGGAGGAGAAAGTGACTCACAGGGAGCTCAAGATAGGCCTCTGGGAATGCTAGTGATGTTTCCTGAACTGGGTGTAGGTTTGTGAAATTTTGACCTAAACATTTAACTTAGGATATGTGTGCTGTTATACATTTATATATGTATCTCAGTCATATATATATATGAGAGAGTGCTCTCGCCTCAACAAAAACAGATCGAAAATAATATCATCTTAACCAAATAACCTCTAACCAATCTCACTCTTAGCTGTTGCGCAGAAATATATCCAACAGTAAACATGTTTAAATCGAAACCTTTACGGCAGGATTGCCCATTATGACAAAGGGCTGAAAATAGATACCAATCAGAAGAAAACTGAGAAATAAATTACACATTATCCACTAAAAAGAATGACCTTGTTAAAACATAGATTGCTGGGGAGAAAAGTGACTCCAATTATAGGCTGGCTGAAGACAATGACCTCATTTTAAGGAATAATGACCAAATCTCCCCATTTATGCACATGAAGATGTTAGGCACATACACTGGCACAGGTTGGGTCCCCTGGGAGACCACTTCTGTGATGAAGGCTTGCATTTGAAAAGGTGACTGGAGAGTGAAGGAGGCAGAACCCAACCAATGACAATGGCTAGGATGTAGTCACTCAAAGGCCTGCCCTGGGCAGAGCATGGTCCTGCAGAGGTGTCTCCCAGTGGGGCAAGGGAGTTGGGCTTTTATACTCCAGCACAAACTAATCACTGGACCGGTCATTCCTGGGGAAGTGGTGGGCCCCTGGGCAAAGAAGTTCTTTGCAACCAAGCAATCAAGGGGAGGGGCTGTCCCAGGAGCAGGGACAGTGCTTCAGTAGTAAAGGGGGAGGAATATGGGTGCCACAGTGCTTACTACAGTCCACACTGCGCTGCTCATTGCCACTTGCTTCAGAGACATTCTGGGAGCAGTCTGGCAGGATTCTGGTGGGCCTTTTCCTGGGGAAATTTATAAAAGGAAGGTACTGGGATAAACTACATCTTGCTGCAGCTGGCCTCAAGGTTGCAAATTACATTCATCTCCCTCCTCTACTGCCCATGCTAGGGTCTCCTCACCCTTGCCTATCTCCTCTACTGCTCTAGGTAGCTTAGCTTACCTGATCAGATAACCCAAACTCTCATCCCTGAGAGGTAAACCCCTGGCCACCATGCCTTTCTCTGGCCCATAACTCCTGCATTTGCCATCAAATGTGGGCAGGGGACTATGAGGTGGCCAATCACATTACCTGGGTGTTTCCCCTGCCCCTAGTTATGTAGTAACAGCTCTACCTCCTCCTGGTGCCCACGGTCAGTCACCCTAGAAGATGGAAGTTACATTTCTTGCCAGCCAGTTTCTTGGCACAAGGAGCTCAAAATAACCAGGCAGCAGCCACAGCTGGAAATTAAGTGGCATTCTTCCTGTGCCCCTGCTGGAAAGGTTTTCCCTTTGAGAGTCAAGACCTTTAAACCTTAAGAACCCAGAGGTGTGTGGGGTAGAAATACAGATTTCTAAGTGGGTCATTGGGAGTGATGACTTTCACATTTTTGTTTCCAGACCCATTTATTACACAAACCGAGGACAGGGCACCACGTAGTGGTCAGTGATCTGCAGTGCAGACTGCACCCTGGAGGTGACTGCTTCATCGCAGGTGTCACCTCCAGGCTGCACGAGGTGAGCTGGGTCTTCCACAGACCATCCTGCTGTTCCATCAGGTTGGCAGCTTCTTGGTGTGCAGCTGTGAGGCAGCCAGTGGCTCCCCCTCCCATGTGTCCACTGGTGCAGTTCCTTGGCCATGTGCAGGATCCTGTGGATCAAACACTCTGTGAAACTTGGATGACAGAGCTGACTGAATCCATGAGAATGGGAAAGGCACACCCATGCCTGTAACACGTGTTGGTTCCAGCCAAGATGAATCACTGTAACTTCTAGGGCACAAGGGGTTCAGTTTTGTCAAATGACTGTTTCCCTCCAAGGAACGTGCAACTGGGGACTCAGTGTTTGGTCTCTGTTGTTGGAAGACTGGATGTTCGGCAGAGAAATAGCTAGGTGAGCTCTGGTAAGGGGGAGCACTATGCTATGGGCCATGCACAGCCTCTACCCACCCCATGGTTACTCCATGAGAGAGTCCAGTGTGCCAGGACAGGCACAGAAGATGGCAGAGGCTAGTAGATGTCAATTGGCGAAGTCATCCCATTAATGTGGTTTGGCGTGTCCTCATGGTGAAAGTTCTTGGGTGGGAGGTACTTCATGTTCCCACAGATCTCTCCACATGCCTTACTCCAGGAAGTCCCTCATCTTCCCATCTTTCTTATTCCAGGTACCTGAGCAACCTGTCAAGCCACTAACCATTGCCCAAGAGTTCCAAATGTGTTAACATTGGGGCCACTACTCCTTCCACATAAGTTGGTAGTCAAGGGTACCACCCAGTTCTACCTACTGGGTCTCCCCGCGCACTGTCTTTCAGGGCTGCTTAAATCAGGCTGTTCAGAGCCCGCTCACCAAGAACCATGCTCGAACTTTCCTGCCTCCATCAGCTGGGCTTCAGGCTGCCCCTTTAGAAGTATCAGTGCCAGCACTGATGATGTCATGGGGTGTGGGCCACACAAGAAGCTTGGTTGTTTGTGCCTGCTTGTAGGTAATACTAAATGAGCCACTTCCAACTTGCAATGAACAGCTGCACACTCACCTCTTGGTGGGTCTGACAGAACCAGCTCATGCTGGCAGTTCTGGCTCATGGTCACTTGATGTCACCATGGCCTCATGCTCCATCTCTACAGGGGCCAGTAGCATGCCAGTTTTGTTTATTTGTAATTCTTTTCTGCAGATGGGATTGCATGGTCCAGAGTTCTAGGAGTTTGCATTGAGCATCACATTGCATCTTTTCCCACTACAGATGCCTCTAACATCACAAGGTCTGTTGGGCTGGAAGTCTAAGTAGCTGGCCACTTGCTTCACAGCCTAGGCCTCTTACAGGATGCTTTCCTATGCAGTCAGTATTCCCAAATGTGGAATATGCTGCCTCCACTCCCCAAACCCAGAGATGCCTATCAGGTGTCATGCTTCATTCTTAATGGTTAATGTGATTAACCACGTTGCAGGATGACTTGGCCAGTTGGCATCTTCATTCTTAATGCTTCATTCTTTTTTTTAAATTATATATATATATATATATATATATATATATATATTTTTTTTTTTTTTTTTTTTTTTTTTTTTTTAAAGAAAGAAAGAGAAAGAGAAAAGGGGGGAAGAGAGAACAGGAGTCTTGCTCTATTGCCCAGGCTGGAATGCAATCTAGAAATAAGTACTAAAAACCTCTTTTATGCTGATAATTGTGCTTAACAGCAGAGACAGAAAGGAGTAAGGAAAGAACATAACAAACAGCCAACCAATACTTTGTTTAAATTTGTGAAATGCTGTGCAAATGCTGAAGAGTGATTTGCTTCCATTTATGTGGTCACTTTCAAAATAGGTGTAATGGGATACTAAAAAAAAATGTATGTTCTGTGGACCTGGGGTGTAGAATTGTATAAATATTCACTGAGTTTACTTGTTCCAGGTATGAGTTCAAATCATAAATGTCTCGTTAATTTTCTATCTCATTGATCCATCGAATATTAACAATGTGGTGTCAAAGTCTCCCACTATTAGTGTGGGAGTACAAGTCTCTTTATAAGTCATTGAAAACTTGT